GCAGTAAGCATTTTCTGCGGTCTTTTTATATCATTGGTCTGCCTAGTTGAATATATCTGTTTTTTTCAGTCTGGCAGTGATCAGCTCTTCCAAGGTCTTAGTGTTGAACAACAACTAGCTGATCTCACAAAGACATTTTTAAATTCTAGCTATATAAATGGTAAAAAAAATAAGATTTTTTTTTTTATTTTTATTGCAATTAAACTTTTAGAACATAAAGTGTATGTTTTCAAGGTCTCTTCAGTGGTAAAGCAATCTTGATTAATTACTCATATTTCTCTGTGAAACCTGTGGATACTTTAACTTAATAACGAGTTTGCAACGAGTAAAATTGCAAGCTTCAAAAATGATAAATATTTTAAAAACTCTTCTTTAAACTCTCTAACTCAGAGGACAAACTTGCATTACAGTCTAATGCTTGCATAATCTTAGTACTTCTTCATATTGTTATTTGACATTTCGGAAAAACCTAGAGAAAGATCAAGGCAGTAAGATTCAGCTGTGCCTGTGATGCTGCAATGCCATCTAATTTGTACACATCAAAATGCTACACAATTCCATCGTCAGTACAGCTGAGGTGATTTGCTTACAAGAATGATGTGAAAGACGGGGATAATGCTAATATATGGCTCATTTTTGACAGAAAAATAATTTATTAGGTTTTGATTCTTAGCTCATCAACTCTTAACTGGCATTCTTTTCACCAAAAAAAAATTAACTCTACTAATGAATATGCTCAGGTGACCGGTTTTTTATGCTAGTCGGTTATAAAGTCACTGGAAGGTACCAGCGTTTTTCTGTGAGCTAACTCATAAATTACGAAAGGATTATCTGCTGGTTAAAAAAATGACAAAATTTCCTCAGCATGCACATATATATATAAAAAAATATAATCCGGCACCAAATACCAGTGTTGTACTTCCACTGTTTTTGTGAAGCTTGTAATTTCTCAAAGGCTGAATTTCAGGAACCAGTAAACTGAGCAGAAATGAGTAGTTTACACCAGTCTATCTGAATTCTGAATTCAGAATTTCATCAGGAACATGTGACTAGTTTTGCTTGGAGCAAAAGGGTCACTCTGATTTGCTCCGTGTCAAAAAAGTATGTTCTGAAGGTCTGGTGTTCATAAATCTGCTAAGCATAAAGAGGTTTCTCTATAAATACAGAAATTAGACTGGGCTATTTTTGCCCGACTTGTGCTATTTACTGAGTTTTCTCCAGCAGTCTCTTTAGCAGCTGGTATTCTTTGACTAGTAGTTTGCCTTCATGGATGCTTCTTTCTTAGTGAAGTCTTTACTTAACTCATTCTCTTCCACTGGAAGCTGGAGGTGGGAGTAATTTTATTCAGTTATACTTACAGTTTGGATTTTACATCCTTTGCACATACTCCATGCCCTTGTTATTTTATTTCCTCTGAAAGGTTCACTTTTTATAGCTATCCATTCTAACTTATGCTCCTTTGAATTTAGTTCCCTAACTACTTCTTTTTGAGCTGTACTTGAAAGGACTTGAAGGTTCAAGCCTTCTTTTTATTCTTTTTTTTGTATTCATTCATGTCTCTAGAATGTGACTCATCTCAAAGTAGGTCTTGGTTATGATTCTATAAGTCAGGGAATACAGTTAATAGATCCATGTCTTATTTCTGTAAAAAATAAGTGGTTTAACTTTGTAAATTATTAAATAACTAAAGTATATTTCTCCTATTAAAAAAACCCATGCTATTCACTTTGAATCCTGAATTATGTTGTAATATTTATTACTCATGGAAAGGTATGTTTGTAGCACCTTTCCTAAACAGTACTGACGAATGTGATCTAACTTCCCATCGAAGCATTATGGATTTACACATAGTAAATTAAAAAATAAATAATACCTTCTTACAGTTTTTCTTCTGTTCTGTATTTTTAAGTAATGCTGATCCATATCTTTCATTGCTGTATGATCCCTTTCCATTTTTCTTGATCCTGGTATTTAACTGCTGGAAAAACATCTGGATGTGTGATCTTTTCCACCTTTCTTACTAAAAACAAGGTAATTGTAAGTGCCTTCTTTTCTTCCAGTACAAAATAAAAGAAATTGGAGATGTTCTTGAACTTGTTGATAGCATATTTTTTGAAGATAAAGCATTTCCCACAAGAACTGTTATACTTTTACTGTTGAGGCCATATGGGAAGAAAAAACATATGTGGGATTATATCTTCAAATGGCAAAAGGAGCATGTTTGGTTTGCTTTGAGTTTTAATTATATTTTATTTAATGATATCAGTTTTTCCTTAATTCTACCTGCCTGGATTTTCAGTCTGCTTGGACGAGCTTGGTCTTTCTTTCCAAATTTCTGGGTTTTTAGGGGAAAAATGCCTTCTCGTCTTTTAAACAAGTGCTGCTGAAAGATGAGGAATACTAATGCTGGCTTAGAACCAGCTGTCATATCTCTTTTGTTCTTAGTCTTTGCCTAATATTATCTTTAGCAGTCCTGATTGATTTAGTGTCTGACCCATCTTACAGTGACATTTTATATACCTTTGCATCAATTCTGCTCTTTCAAATATTACACCTGTGGTCAGACTGGCAGTTCTGCATCCTGCTCAGTTATTTACATTTTCATTTCCCATTGCCACCCTCCAAAATACAAAAAGTCCTTGGCCTTGAAAGTATTAAATTTTGCTGATGAAAAAGGTGAACAGGATCTGGAAGCACACACTTTGATTTCTGATAGTCAGCTCCTAAAGAATTTCTTGCATGCCATTATAGATGGGCTGAGGGTTATTCTGAGTGACAGAAAGCCTGGCTATACAGACATGCTATTCGTGTCAGTTAAAGGTAGCAGGATTGCAAGGCAATGTCAGGTTTAAAAAGCAGATTCTGCACACCACCTCTGTGACTTCTTTTAGGTAAAAAGATATGCTGTTTTTTCCCTCCTGTTGTTCTCCACAACACTCAGAAAAATTTGGTTATAGAAAGTGGATTTGGTTGTTTTCATGTGAGATCTTCAAAGCAGCAGTTGTAATGAAATTGTTTTCAGTTTGCTTTGTAAAGCTTAGAGATTTCTGGAGATAAAAACCTGGGACTTCATTACTCTCAGAAATCCTCTCTTTGTCTCTTGGATACTCCATACCAGTACAGTATTTTATAATGAAGGTTTTTGTTTTATTTTTTAATGCAAGTGCAGTTTAAAAGATGACTAATGATGATTTTTGGACAGTAATTTATTTTAATGTTTAATTAGATTTTTTTGGCTTCATGCTCGGGACAGTTACTCTTTAACACTGTAAAATGGAATTATCGATTAAACATTCTATAGCCTCATTCTGCTTTCAAATCCTGGTAATCTCAGTTTACTAAATGTTACTGGTTAACTGCAAAAATATATAATATCTCCATTAAGAGCCAAAATTTCTGAAACATTTTGAAATATTGAAATAAAATATTTAAATGATCAAAAATGCTTTATTGTATTTAAAATATTGTAACAATTAGAGTGGTCCCTCTGTTCTGTTGAGCACTTGCACAGCTCCTGTGCGATGTTGTTGGTGTATTTTTAAGTTTACTCAGAATTCAAGGCTCGGAACTCAACAAAACTTGTGTTGTTGAAATATGGCAATTAATCCCAGAATATTTAGTAATCAACTGTAATTATCCCCAAAAGTTTTCTTGTTCTTATTTCTAGTGATAGACAGTAAATTCATTACTTGTCTTACACATGTGGGTTTTTTTTTCAGTTCTTTCATCTTTACTAGTAGTTCTCTGTTGGAAAGACTTTCACACAATAGTTCTAGGCTATTTTCATTACACGGTGCCCAATACACCATCTTCAGAGAAGGAAAGTAAAATCTTACAGGCACATGGATATTTGTGTGTTGGGTTTTTTTTTTTAAGAAAAAAAAAACAACCTAAAGTTTATATAAGTGGAAGACAAAAATAACCGCATTGAACAAATCAGGGTTCAGGGAAAAAAAAAGAAAAACTTTTGAATGCTTAACAACATAGGTAGGCTATTGCTATCTATTAAATGTAAATTGAGTAGTATAAATGACTGTTATGCATTCAGGCCTTATGCCTGAGAGTTATGAGAAATACTGATTTTATAGTGCTGTTCACTGCGTGTCAGGTTCTTGAATTTTCTATTATTTTAATAAAGTACATACTATAATCAGGTCTTTTATTGATTTTTTCTTTTTTCATTCTCCTTAAAAAATAATTGCAATTTAAAAATTGATTGTGTAAATATTCGTCTTTTTTCAAATAACTTCAATGACCATTTCTTCATTGAAGAAGAGTTTTTCAATGAAAGGTCTTGGTCATGTAATCCAAACAATGAAATTATCATATTTAACTTGGACCTAGTTAGAGAAATTAAGATTCAATAGAGAATCAATTCAGTTTTAGGAAATAATTACCCATATTCTTTACCTTGATTTCGAGTGCCCAGTAAGAAATACATGAGCGTCCACTACCAACACTGAGGACATTCCAGATAAGTCCCCATAATTCCTTTGAGAACAAAAGTTTTCAATGAGAAAGGTCTGATGGAAGGAAACTCTGCAGCTGTCAGATATTGAGATTCAAGCTAGCCATTTCAGGTGGTAGACTGTTACTTAAAAACTTTGGAAAGCTTGAATCTTAATTTACGTAATCAAAATGAGCATCATGCAAAAAATGGTAGACACTTCTAAAATGTGTTTTTGTCAAACAAACCCATGATATTCTCCTATGATATCTCCCAATTGCTGAGATGAGCATTCAGGCAAATCAGCACTGAAAAGTTTGGATCTATAAATGTTTTCAGATTTGTACATGAAATTCTTCTAATGATAAGCAGAAGTCTAAAGTTTCATGACGTTGGTCCAGATTTTGGTATAAGAATGCAAACATAAATATGAAGAAACATTGATAATCATTAATAAATATTTTGTCCTAAAAAATGTCAATTTGTGATGGTACATTTCAATGTGTTTTTATTTTCCAAAGTAACTGTACTGTGTTTTATTTATGTATTTTAGGCACAGAAGGGGCAGTGTTTGGGCACTCTGTGGAGACACCCCATATCAGAGCAGAACCTTCCCAAGACCTCAAGTAGGTGTTGTTCAAAAAGTTGTTTTAAAATAAAGTAAAAAAATAATTGTCTTGATTAAAAACAAGTATCTGTATAGTAATATGTACTGCCTACTTAATGACTCATACGCAACCAAAACACTGGTAGACTCCAATTTGTTCTAACAAGTTGAAAAAAACCCACAAGATTCTATCACATAAAATGTAAAATACATTACTTTTTATAAATGCCTTGCATCCTATAGCAAATATACTCGAGAAGTATATTTTCCCTAGAGGCTGGAATAGACAGGCTTTTTTAAGGTCAGCTGAGTACAGTATTGTTTAATAGCATCAGACACAGATTTCGATTTTGGTATGAGTTGTTATAGAATATATAAGCCAGTCTCAGATTTCTTTCTTCAAGTGGTGTTTCTGTGTTGTTGGGTTTTTTGAATACTACACACACACACTTCAAAAATTCATTACCAAGTGAGGCTACATTTGTAAATGTAAAAATCCAAAGTTTTCTGTACAGTCACAAAAGTGAAGAAATAAGTAAATAGTAAAAGATCAAGTCTAAAACTTACTGAAACATCCATAGACTGAGAAAGAGAAAATTTAGAAAGGCATATAGTGAAAGCTTTTTCCTGAAGTGCATGTATGTGCACCACTAAATACTAATCTGTAATTCAGATGAAAGACTAATGAGAATATATTACTATTGCAGAAAATCAAAGGTCCTTCCTTGTGTTTCTCTCAGCAGAATTGGTGAAAAACGATATAGACTTTGATTCAATTCTACTATCATTCCTACACATAATATATGTTTACCTCTTTACCTGCCCAGCAGTGTTTACAATTAATTGCTCCAGAAAAGCATTGTTAAATGCCCTTTCCTGTATTTGCAAAGGCATTTAGGATCATCAACCAGTAACGATGTTGCTGAAATCTTGTACAGGAAGCTGCCCACGTGGACAAGTTTGACCATTGTATGTGGGGTGTAAATGATTGTGTTTGATTATTTACACTAAATATTTTAAGGTAATGCAATGGTCTGGGTCTTCCAGAGGATCCTACTCATTAGATTTTTATCTTAAAAATACCCATCCCCTGCCAAGACTCCCATCAGTCCTTTGTTCAGAGTAGTTGTAAAGGTGTTTACTACTGATAACCACCAAGGTGGTACGGTCTCTAACCAAAAGGAGTTCAGCAGAAATCAAAGTGGAAACCTAACAAGTTTTTCTTCTTTCAGGGACCCAAAAATTTGAGTAAGAGAGTGGAAATTGTCCCACTCAAAAGCATGTGGAGACCCTGCTGTGTCTACTTCTTTCTAATAATTAAATAATAATAACAGACCACAAACGTACAGTAAAACAGATAACCCTGTGTCTTCAGGATTAATTTTACTATGGTTAAAATCATATCATATTGCTTGTGAAACTTACATATCAGGCATTCACCCCTCCTGTCTTTTGGCTTTATTCATTGCCATGATTCCCACTCCTGCTTGATGTTTTCCAACTCCACCATTCCTTCAGCTCGTTTTTCCAAGGTGGACTTAAATTAGTGAGAGTTTTCCATTCAGATTTCTGCCCTCTCATTAATAATGAACTTAACCCAAACTTTCTATTAAAAACAATGACGGTTGCTGTTTGGTCAAGTAGCATTAGCTTAGGTGTAAGTGATTTTATTCTTACAATATTTAGTCTATATTGTATTCTACAAGTTTTTGTACAGATGTGCTCCTATATATTAGTTAGGATTCAGTGATACTCCTTTTTTAAAACTCTCAAGCTATTTAAATCTTTTAAAAATTATGACAATTACTGTTAAGACAGATTTCTTGGCTTTTGGCATGAATCTTTCTAGAAGGTAACCTGCAGACTCTTTTTAACCTTGTAGCTTGAAAGAACTATAAATAATTGTGGGTTTGTGTGATATTTTCTGACAGCAAAATACAGTTAGACACTCAGATCATATATATCCCTTTGAAAATTCTGGTTACCATATGCCTTTTAATCTTATTTCAAGTGATTTAAAAAAAAAACCAACAAAACCAAAACCAAGCACCCTGTGGGGAATTTTAAGTTCAAGCCCTGCATTTATTTTAAAAAGAAACAAATTAGCTTTTTTTGCTAATTTAAAAAATGTTGTCAGAAAGTAGTGATTTATCATTTAGATGATTGTTTGCCAAAATCGCCCAAACAAATAGGTCACCAACCCTAATATGACATTTCCCCATAGCCTCAGAAGCTAACTCTGTCAGAAACAAAGCAATACTTGAACCCACTTTCTGGCCTCAGGCCCAACTTATACAACTACACTGATATTGTAAAATTATTTTACCCTCTAAAATGGAATAGTTGCATCCTAAATGCCAAGTGGGAATGGTCTTTGACTCTTTCTACCCTCCAAATAGTGCCTGCAAATTGTTTGGAAGAGTCGTAACTGACTCTCAGTTGACTCTCGACTATGCCAGAGACTATTTAGCTACATAGATGATTGAGTTCCAGTGGTCTGGCCTGGGTCTTAGCAATTTTTAATGGTTTAGTATAAGCTTAGACAAAGTGTCCAGTAGACCATAGTGCCAGTCCTGAAATAATATATTTTTCCAAATGCCGCATCCCTGCACCTTGGGCATTTGAAATTAACGGTAACATGGGAGAGTAGAGAGCTGCTGAGTTGACATTAAAGTTCATTTTTTCACTGGACACAGGTGATTACAGTTTGACAGCAAGTTGCAGTGCATAAATGCAAATATATTAGGCTATGAGAATACTTGTATACAGGGCTGAAAGAATTTGTATTAGACTTAATTAAAATACAAATGATCTAATTTTTCATGTTGGAATATGTATTTGTGGTCAGGTAATAAACCTCAGATATAAAGATATATTTAAATAATACCATTTTAAAAAAGAATATGCTGGAAAACTATTCATAACCTTGGATATGTAAACCAATTCACTACTGAATTTAGAAAGTGGAATTCTGACCACCTTGATTACTGAGAATGAAACTGAGCTATAAAATCTGGACTAAGATTTTGATACCCACAAGGCTTATAGTGTTTGTCCCAAAAGTCCTGGGATTTTAGCTCAATGTATTCTGGGCAGGGAGCCAAAAAGAAAAAGTCAGATTCATATTAGCTTCACATAGCTAAACTTTGCCTCAGCCACTCCTTGTTCTACAGCCAGATTTTGAGGTCTTCAGACAGAGAGACATCTCTAATATTTGCTATTAAAAATGTGTTGTGTAAAAATAAAATTCAGTTGAGAAATAAAATAATTCCTTCCTATGTGCCCAACCACTTTTGTCACATCTTTCTCCTGTCTTACATTTTCAAATAATAGCTAGTGAGGTTTTGCTTTCAGAAAATGTTTTTTTGCAATCCTTTGTGAAACTGGTAAGCCCTTTTGTGTCAAATCCCCAAAACTAATTAAATCTGACTTTCATTAGCTGGGTTAAGCAGCATAAAAGAATCATGCCTTAGAATCAGAAAAATGAATTATATCTTAATAATTTAATCTTTATATTTCTCTCGCTACTTTTTTCACAGGAACACAGTTAGGAAAACTAAACTGCCCATATAATAGGTCCCAAAATATTGGTTTTAGGCTAATAGTGCATTAAAACATGGTGCACTAATAGGTAATACCCATGCACAAAAGAGGCAGAGAGTAGTTTAATGCAGATAGCTTTGCCCTCAATAACCTCCTTAATAAAGGGGTAAATTAATTTGTTGTTGTTCTCTGGGGATAACTGCAAGATCAAATTTAATAGGTTTTTTTCTCTTCTATGTCAAGCCTCGCATACCATTGACTGTCAGCTAATCCTGCAAGCTAATGCCTGGCATAATGAGATGAAAACTGATCAAGCAGCACGGAACCACCCGAGCTAGTGGGATCCTACTTTACCTCTGTTAAGAATTAAAAATACACAGATCTTACGCAAGGGGGCTGTTTTTCTCAGAGTTGCCTCATGGCTTGTAGGAGCCTTCTTTTGTGGCATTTAAGGGGTGGTTTACTAATAGGGCAAAATATCTATTCTATAAAAGCCTGGAGCCAGAGAAGGCATCAGAAAGGAATTTTGATTTTAACTTGTTAGTCATCTGAGCAGACTGAGAGCAACAAAGGCACTAGGACTCTGTTCATACCCAGAAATCAAATAATAAACAAAACCATCAAAAGGGAAAAGACAGAGTAGAGTATAAAAACCCAGCTTCCTTCCTATGCTGTTTTAATGATGTCAGGTTCTAGTTACTTTAGTTACTTTCTCGTTATTCTTTTTTAACAAAGGGGAAATATTTACTATTTATGTTTTCAGAATTTTTGTTTGGTGTTTAAACAGTTATTTCAGTGTTTGGGCATGTGTATTGACAGAAACTTGTTGCTTAGTCTTATCCCAGCTGTTGAAGATATGGTTGGGTTTTTTTATATATATACACATTCCTACAGAATAGAGCTGGGTGTAGGAAAAATCTGAAAAATTTCCAAGTCAAGCTTCTTTTTTTACATATATATATGCTTATACATAGAGAGATAGATATATACATATAAAAAATACATTGAAATAGAGAAGAAAGCCAGTAATAAAAGGTTGCAATTACTATGCAGACAGGACACAGTAGGAATAAAAGGTAAGTAGGTATGGCTCTAAAACTGAAAGAATAATTTGGTTTAGTGTTCAGTGACAATGATTATCTTTGACATTGGAGAAGGGAAAAGGCTCTAATGGGAACTGAGATACGAAAGAAAAAAAAAATATTGCTGTCACAAGAGATGGCAAAATTCATTGAGTTTCATGTGGTTAATTTAGGGTGCTGGCTAATCTCTATCCCTGATCTGTGACTGAACTAAATGTGAAAATAAGGTCAAATAGCCAAAATTTATAATAAAGCTTTCAAACTGGAAAACAGCACTGTGGGACTGATGGATTGGTAATGGTAGCGCTTCTAGTGAAATGGATGGAAAAAATGAGAGTCATCTAGTATATTAAACCCTTTAGTCTAAATTCACTAGTATGCAAAGCTTTACAAT